AAAGCAACACAGGCAATTGAGAAGGAAGCCTTAACATCCAAGTGCAAAAACTTACTACATAAATAGCTGGGATTCTCTCAAGCAAGTTCAAACAGTGCATGACAGAAGCATTTGCAATCTTTACTCAGCTCTGGCCCACACTGGTGGTGGGCTATGCCTTTAATGTCTTCTTGGATGCGTTACAAACAACACAGTTTATATGGAGCCACTTTTGCATATTAATCAAATCAAAAGTTTGCAAAGCTATACTAGGCCAATGTTTATAGCTATGCAGATCATGGCAAGTCAGGGTCTTGATTTCAATGGGAGTTACTGGTAATCAGATCTGAAAAGAAAAAAAAAAAAAAAAGACTGCCTCTATTTTAATGCCTGGAGGCCCATAGTTCTCTCCCATTTCAGGCACCCACGTTAAAGGCAACAACAAACTGACCAAAATGGTTAATGTTGATTTTTTAAGTAATTGAGGGTTTTTTCCCCTATTCAGCTCTATAGAAAGACTTTATTAAATTATTAAAAACAAGCACTTTACTTGCATAGCATTATGTTCTTTAGCAAACAATCCTGGATTGTTTTGGGTCAGGAACTATCTTGTTTGCAAGTGGCATGAGTTGCCTCAATGTTAAGAAGAGATACTAGCCTGTTTAATGGGTTAAGGAATCTGCAGATTCTGCTAAATATCTGTCATCAACAATCTTGAACAGGACACAAGACCCTTCCCTCCTCCCACCCCCTTTTACAGAGGAGGAAATACAGCCCTAAGGATTTCCGCAAGATGAAGACTATTTTAGCATAGATGCAAAAGAACCCTTTTCTTCCCACCACTCCTACAGTCAGGCAGGCACATTACCCCTGTATTATGCTTCACCCATTTAATAATGCTTATAAACCCCCCTCATGGGGTTTTCAGGCATACAAAAAACCTTTGTATTTACATTCTCCTATTCTACAAAATGTGGTAGTCAAGTTTGCTTTAGTTACAAGTGTAATTAACTACTGCAAAGACCAAATAAGGTTTAGTGGGCTTTCAAGCAGGCTTAAATTAGTTAGGAACACAAGTCACAACTGAGTAGCTTCTTAAAACGATTGCGCATCACTTTAAACCATTGCTTTCATTTGCAAGCTAAAACAGCAGCCATTCCCTATTATACCTGTGTATTATTAAGAATACTGTAGTTACTAATCTGTATTTTAAAGACTGGCAAGCAAATTCCACTGTGTCTACACAATTCCTTCTAATCTCTAGTATTCAGCAACAATAAACTTCAGTCACTTTAGTTAAACACAAACACAGAAGGGACACACACAGTGATTTTTAGTTTCTTCCTCCTGGAGAAAGTTGATCTGATTAATTCATGCAGAAGGTTTTTAGTATTGTTGCTAATTATTTAAGTTTTATTACACATCAATAGTCACAGAAAAATTAACTTTAAGCTTTAGAATGAAAGCTACCAGACATGTACAAGTCCTGGCATCAAATTCATTTTTCTCCCCAAAGGCCACACATTGTATGTTATTTAAATGAAAAGCACGAGCTGAACACAGAACCAAATAATTTGGTTATAACCAAATCATCATAGAGCCCTGCACATCAAGACAGACAGTAGTAAGTACAAATAAAATACAATATTTTTTAATGCCTTCTGGAGCTGGCTGGAGGGAGCCACACCCTTTACAAGAACAGTGAAGCTCTCACACCACTGTGTGCCGGCAGCATTCATTCATGCTATTGACATCCAATATAAAAAGGCCCTTTGTACGTAGGAGCACTACACAGGCCCCAGCTCTTGTCCACAAGTTTATTTTAACATGAATTCAACTATAGCAACAATCTAAGACAAATGCAGGCAACGTCTTCAAGTCACACTTGGACCCCTTTGCTTCACTTTTCCCAGTTACCTCATTCTGAGGCCTTATGATCCTTCAGCACATGCTGCGGTTGAAGAAATTCACAGTTTTCTCTGCCTCCTCACAAGCCTCATGCCATCCCCCTTACCCAAATCAGTCTTCAGGGTACAGTCATTTCCTGGCTCAACTCCTGCAGCCTTTGTGAAGAGTTGACCAAACAGCCTACACAGCCTTCTTTTCTAATCCACAAAAAGATTCCCTACATAACAGTACACAGTGAGGCAAGAAAACCTCATCTTCTCCCCTATTTATAAAGTTAAGGCCCAGCTGTCATGTGGATTTTTTTCCCCTACCTTGCACAATTTTTTACACCTGTGAAAAGTAGGAGTTAAAAAAGGCTGTCCCAGGTGAAAAAAAAGCAGCAGGGAGGTAGGGCTTTGAAAGTGATGAGTATGAAACAGGTTTGTTCCAAATGGTACACAGTCACAATCTATTTCAGTGATTTATGTTTGGAGGCAGTTCATTTACTGTTGCTTTGAGTATACCCTGTTTTAAAAAAATTCACCTTTTGCTACACTTCTACTGTGAATCACTTTTAGTTATCAGGACTTGGAATTATTTCCCCTTCAATACCCTAATCCTGCAAATATTTCAGATGTGTGGTTAACTCCACTGTTAAATTAAATTCATAGATAAATGATTGGCAAGACAGGGGGAGGTTAAGCCTCATCCATGTTTCCTTTACTCCAAGAAAGGAATGCATTTTGTTCTGTGCAATAATGCTGATTAATCTTGTTTAGAGATAAAACAGGTATTTTCAGCAACTCGGAAACAGAGCCTTGTGTTCCCCCTGCCACTTGAAACTTAGATAGGAATACCAAAATGCATGTTAGAACAGCTAGTTTAACTAATCTCTGAAGTGTGAACAGTCACAGGCTAATTTAGCTAATTTGACTATGCACAACTGAGCACTCCACCCAGATAAAAATACAGCAATGGAATATACCTATTAAAATCAATGTGGCTATGGATGGCAGTAAGTGTAGGGTGTACTGACATGTTGCAGGAGTAGAACCTAAGTATCTAATCTGCGTCATTTTAAGCTTTACCATGCTGCTTCCCTCTTTGCTGTTCTTTGCACGTCATTAATAAGAACATAGATCTCTGAGGCCACTAAAAATACAAAAAGGTCCGTATTTACTTTTTTATGGATCAGTCAGGAATTGCCTTTTTTCTTCATTTTACCATTATTGACATTATGAAGAATAACATATGGAGAATAACTGGGCCAGAATAAAAAATAAACATATATTTTGTATTGTCGGACTGCAAAGTAGGCAGCTAATTCAATAGGAGGGAGAAGACAAGTCATGTCAGTTAGCAATTGCAGCCCCAGAGAGCTAGTTTTGATTAATTCACCTTTATATATATATTTATTATTATTATTAATATATGGCATACCTTATAATGTCTATATTGAAGCATGTGAATTATTTATTTTCTGCAAAGACTGGGTGTGCAACTGTTACCAGGAAAATATATGAACAACTCTACCATCAAAAACTTATTTTGGATACAATGGTGAAGTGAAAGCTCAAGGGTACATTTTAACACTAAAGGCACAGTAAAGGCAGAGCACAAGTGATGTGGCACATAGCCACATAAAAAGCAAGCCTGCATGTAAAAAGTGAGCATGGATTTACATACATGGGTTTGCACATGTTTCTCTTTAAAAGTACTTACTTCTCTCTGTAGGTAAATAGCTTAAGTCTAAAGGGAAATGCTTCTGTACATACACCCAAAAGGAAAGCAAGACCTAGTATGTGTATTCCTATATATAACATACATATAATGTACAATATGGATGAGCACTCTTGTTCAGTGTTTCCACTGAATATAGCTCTACATGCATGTGTGTATAAAAATGTGTGTATGTGTGTGTATATATATATACTAGCCAACTGCCCATCAAGAATTGGTGGGGCGGGGGAGAACAGAGCCCCAAGTGCCGCCCATCAGTGCCCTCCCCCCACCCTGTGTTGGGCCCAGGCCTTACCACCTGCCCCGTGATACCTGCAGGGAGCAGGGGGGGGGGAGCGAGGCCACTGCAGCTTCGCAACCCCCACCCCCACCCCCTGTGTCCCCACCATCATGGCAGCAGGCTGCCTTCTGTCAGAATGCTTCTTCATACTCTGATCAGAGCGTGAATGAAGCACTATGGACAGACAGACAGACAGACTTAGGCTTTCATAATATTAGAATATCTATCTATCTATAGATATGTATGTATGTATGTGTGTGTGTATATATTATATATATGTATATAATACACACACACACACTATTTAAATACATGCCAATATTTAAATACACGCGTATATATAAACATATCTACAATTTATATAAGTGCATATATAAATGTATAATATAATATACATATATAATCCATATATAAAATAATAAAATATACATAATGATATACATATATTATACATATAATACATATACAATATATAATATACATGCATATATTTATATACATGTATATAAATAAAAATAATATATGTCCATATCTAAATACATGTGTATATAAAAATGCATGTTTATAGATAAGTACATATATAAATATATGACATACATAATGCACAATATAACATACACATATACATATACACATATAAATATAAATTCTAAATATATTGATATATACATATATGGAACTAAAACATAATTGTAT